CTGGCGGCATGGCGGGGCAAACGAACGTTAAAGCTCTATAGAGACAAGCGTGCTTATAAGCCATCAATGGTCGACAGAAGTATTTCAAAGTCAAGGAAGCAATTATATAATATAACATTAATATATTTATTGTCATCATACTATACTATTATAGTTATTATTATATACTATTTCAGTTAATTGATGGTAATCAAGGGATAAAGGGTGAGGCTTATCCAAAAATAATGTATCTAGGAAAGAACAATTGTTCAGCGGGATAACGAAGTCATGCGATCAGCTGAGATCTTCAATATCAGAGGTTATCACTGATAAAGTCAGCGGGTGCAGTAAACCAGTAATATCAAGTAGACTTCAGTGAATTCGAAACGTCATTAGGTGGCACAAAGACACTTCAACTTTTTTTCAGCAAAAATTGACACAATTATTCAATAATAAAGATTTTCAGCTGAGTAGACATGTATTTTAAAGACTAAAAAGTTGTGCATTTATAGTGAATATACTTGCGCTTAAGTTTTTATTGTGCAAGACTAAAAAGTTATGCTTTTATAGTAACTATAGTTGTACGTAAGTTTATACGGCGTCTCAGAGAGAGGTTATCATAATCATGATAACATCCTAATCCATAATAACCTTCTCGCTGCACAGGTTATTGGTACAACTGCCCCAGGAAGGCCTGACAATATCCATGATAATATTCTAGTCCATAATAATCATGCCGCTCAATAGACATGATAATTCCATTATCCATAGCTACAACTGCTTAGGAAGACCGTACCGAGAAGAGTTTGTTCTCGCGCTGCGCGAGGAGGTCCAACAGACCGCATCCCGTGTCCGTGGCCACCGGTCTGAACGCGGCCAGTCGCTCCTTGGCCACTTTCTGCATGAGGACCGAGCTGTCGCCCTCAGCGGTCACGGCCGCGTGGGCCAGCCCGATGAACGTGCCAAATCTGAGGGGAGACCAAGATGCGATAATAATAATACGTTTGCATTATAATATAATTATAATAAATAATATAATAATATAATATGTATATTATATATAATATAATGAATCAAATATAATATACATTAATTCTAATAATATATTATAATAAATTATAAGATGCTATACTAATCAGTTTACAACAAAAGACACGCCTTAATTCACAAAGAATGATGTGCATATTATTGTGCTTCACGATCAAGGAGTATAATGGGAAGAGAAGCAAGAATTTCTCAGTGTTTATTAATTAAGCGAGGTGCAGAATGCTCATTCAAACTCAATCTCTTCAGATCGCAAATAAGATTTTGCAATACAATATTGAAATTAGAAGCAGCAAACGAATAAAATACAAAATTAACAGCCTGTCTTCAAGTAATTTTTGCTCCGTAGGATAGGACACTTGGTACGTTTGTACATAGCAAGTACGCATCTAAATACTTGCATTGACGGAGATAATGGAGGCAATGCAGCAGTTCATTTTTCCCTGAATTGCATCATGAAATTGTTGCATGAAAATAAATTAAGTAGCAACAAGGCGCTGACACGTATTAAACATCGGATGCATTGCAGCATGTAAAAAAAATTAGTGGAATTCAATTCAACTTGTTTATTTTCGTTGATTTTCAATATTCCGCATTTCTGGCCGGTCTCAAACCGAACATAAAGAAGAATAATTGTTGAAAAAATCTTCAGATTTTTCTACACTATTCTTACCGCAGGAAGCTCTCACTCCTTGGAACTTTCATCCTACTGGTCTACCGCCACAACAGCTAAGTAGATCTGGCCGCAGCCCTATTCTCATCCGTACTCGTCTTCATGGTGGCTCGACGAGAGAGTTGTTTACTTACCTGAAGCTTTGACGTACGTTCTTTCATGGTTGAACTATATAAGGTTGAACAGTTCTCCCATGGTTGAACTATATAAGATTGACCCAATGGCCACCACGCACCTGTTGCAGGAAAGGAAGCCCTGGCCACCACGCACCTGTTGCAGGAGAGGTAGCCCTGGCCACCACGCACCTGTTGCAGGAGAGGAAGCCCTGGCCGCCGCTGCGCTCCCTGCAGATGGTGGCAGTGCGCTCGAGGTGCCACGCCGCCAGAGGTTTGATGGCACAGCACTTGGTGACCACGGACGCGTGCTCGCTGCCGTCGCTAGGCTGCTCCGCCCAACACCGCTGACCGGCAGGGTGATAATGGTGGTTAATAGATTTAATGGTGGGTAATACATTTATGGTCTGATCCTCAACAACTGATGTTGGGAAATTAATGGCATTGTTCTGAACTTTTGTGTTGAATATTCGATGTATCAACTCTATAATTAAAAGTTGTTGAGAAAAATTCGGCACGGGCAACATAATATGAAGCTGCAATACCAAGAAGCGGGACCTCATATTAGACCTCAGTCTATTCTATTATAGAATACTTTCAATGAATTATATTTCTCTTTGCCGTCTTGATTCTTATACTCGAACTGAGCTCCTAACAAGTTCCCTTTACGCTGCCAATATCAATTTATACACATACGTACTGTATCATAATGGCGCTGAGATAAACTTGTTATTCAAACCCTATAAATCACTCTCTCTCTCTCTCTCTAATCAGCAAATGATATTCGTGTTGCTCAGTATTCGAGAACGAGTGATGACTTGCCCCACACTAGACCATCACTTGCCCCACACTTAGACACCATATGACTTCCTAGTGTCCGGTGATCTTCTATCACCACCTAGGTTATCACACGTCACCAGCTTAGCTTGTTATGTACCCACATGGTAGAGTCACGCTCAGTGACGTCATCCCCTTTAGGCCAATATTATATAGCTCGATCTGTGCACCGCTCGTCAGTCGTAGCGGTACTGCCTAGCCGTCATCTTGCTAGCCGCTCCTCCGGCACATACTTGTGCTGTACCTGTCAATCCCCGTCCTTCTGTACTCACCGAGCCAGTTTATTATTATAATAGATCTAGTGCTAACCGTGCGTTTTACTTGTCCTGCCTTAGTCATACTTGGAACAACAAAGTATCCTTACTCTCAGTTACAAATCTATCAGGTGGTCGTAGAAACAGACGCCTGACACTAGTCCCCGGTCAAGCTGAAGCTCCGCCTATGTCGTCCTCCGTCTCCGAGTCGTCGCTAGGCAGGTCATCCCGCCCTCGGCTCCCGGATGTAACGTTGGACGTGTTCCGTCTATTTGCCCTCCTTTGGGCCAGCTGATGCAAGATGCTGTTGCTTGTCACTTGCTGAGGGTAGATTCCCATTACTGGACAATCCGGGATCTTTCTCAACCACTTGTCCAGTCGTCTCTTGAATGTTGCAAGAGTGAACTCCCCTCCTCTCAGCGCTTTTGGCAAGGCATTAAAGAGCCTCGGTCCTACCATGGACAGTGATCCCTCACGAAGTCTGTACTCTGGCCACGGCTTAGTTATTAAATGGGTGAATCCTGCAGTCTCCCGCTCCTCTCGTTGTAATATGTCACTATTTTGGAGATCTCACTTACAAAGTTGGGAGCCAGTCCTGTTCATCTTCCAACAGTATGATATACAGTATCAGTGTACACAGTGTAACACAGTGTGTACAGTGGACAGTATGATATACCACTCTCTTCTCTTCTCCAATGAGTACAGCCCCAGGTGTTTCAGCCTTTCCCAGTAGTTCAGGTCCAGCTCCCTCATGCCGCTGATCCTGTACGTGAAGGTCCTCTGCACTGCCTCCAGTTTCCGCACCGCACCCGCCTTGAGTGGCGACCAAAGCTGGCTTCTTTCGTTCGAAATGTCCGGCAGATAAACTCCATCTGCTGTGTACTTCGTGCGCCTATTTCCTCGATGTGGGCATCGAACGTGGCTTCAGTACTCATCAACACTCCGAGATCGCGAGCTAGTTGCTTCTATTAAATTTCTGTGCCATCTGATGCCAAGTAGCGATGTGGCATCCCGATCTCTGTGCGGACTCTGTATCTCATTACTTCGAACCTGGTGCCATTGAACTGCATATTGTTCACTAGGGCCATATCGGATATTGTCGACAAGTCATCCGGTAACCTCTCGCAGTCTAGGTACTGGTTCCACATTAGACCCCTTGACTTGTCGTCCTACACTAGACTCATCACTTGTCCCACATTAGACCCTCTGACTTGTCCCGCACTAGACCCGTTGACTTGTCCCCCTGACTTGTCCCACACTAGACCCCCTGACTTGTCCCACAAAAGACCCCCTGACTTGTCCCACAAAAGACCCCCTGACTTGTCCCACACTAGACCCCCTGACTTGTCCCACAAAAGACCCCCTGATTTATCCCAGACCCCCTGACTAGGCCTCTTTGCAATGCTATTCATTGTAGCAGACGCAGACATGCGATGTTATTCATTGTGCTAAATGCAGACATTGCACTTAATGCGGCAAGACGGCGCACTCGTGCCCTACCTTGACGTAGTCCAGGCCGATGTTGATGGCGTAGGTGCGGGCGAGGAGCGGCAGGAGGGCGCGCTGCTGCAGCTGGTACTGCAGGATCGCGGTGTCCGAGCGGCCGGTCGCCCCTGCAAACAGCTATAGTTATACGAGACCGTCACGTCCACACAAAACCATCGCGTTCACACGAGACCGTCCCGTCCACACGAGACTACCTGTACTCTTCACTCACAAAACTATACCTCTAGTCTATCGACGCTTACTGAAGTTTCCAAGACATTGGAAACGAATAACATTGCCGGCTACGCTCAGCAGTGGACAGAGGGCCCAGCAGAGGTAAAAAACTGATCTCATTTAGTGTGCTAAGTAAGGCTAATTAACTTAGAATGACAAATTGGGCTGATAAATTTAATAGGGCAAGATATTTAGATGTCTTTACCTTTGAAAGGAAGCATGGCTAGTGTATTACTTTCAAAAAGAAAGAAAGAGTGGAACGTTTGAAGAACCATTGATCTTTGTTGAGCTTTTCATTCGGACATTCACTATATTTATGACCAGTTACGTTATGTAAGCTGAGTCAATAACCTTCAACGTATCCAAAACCAATAACTATGCCTTTATTGTTTTCTCAAAAGATATTTTTTAATATATAGTTAAGTGGACTGTCAGTTTTGTTCCTGAACATCTTCTGGATGCAACTGTTGAGGATTCAAAATGATGAAACTTCTTGTTTTTCGATCACAAACGGGTAATAAGAAATTAAATTTGCCGGCGTCGAGTAGCAAAATCAGACTCCACAGTTTATCTCGCATAAAATTCGTGTTAAATGGATTCTATTTTGCCGATGACGAAAGCCACTTCGAATAAATTTACTTAAATTCAATTTTTGATCACAACTAGGTAGATAATCGGAAAAGAATGTGTTCAGAAGATTAAAGAAATTTTAGCTGCACACTTGAGCAAAGTCAGAAAATACGTCAAATTTAATAATATTAAATAATTTTGACATCAGGAAATAACACATCGAACTGAGTTGGGAATATTTGCAGGTTACATACGAGAAAATACATTGGATATAATTGTACGAAAATAAACAATATAAAAAGGGTGATTTATTCGAAAGTAATGTCTCTATGGAAGAAGTTCCAAAAGTAATGAGTCAGGAAGAAGTTTAGAAAGTAATAGTGTGCAGAAAGGAAGAAACAGAAGTGTAGTAATAGTGTGCAGAAAGGAAGAAAGGAAGTGTGCAGAAGCGTACCGACGGTGAGCCTGGTGGCGGCGTAGCGGACGGCGATGGCGAGGCAGGCCTTGCTGCCGCCCACCGCCATGCTCGAGATGCAGATGCGGCCCGATAGCAGCTGGTCCGCCACGCTCAGGAAGCGACCGCGGGCGCTGTGATAATCTCAATTCAAATATAAAGTTTGAAGTATCGCACTTCTAGTCAGCCTAAAGTTAACAACTAAATTATTGATATGTTAACTCCATTTTAATTAGTAACATCATTTAAGCAACCATTTTATTAAAGAAGACATAACAGAAACACGATTCGATGCCGAGCTGCGCCAATATTCAAGTTAGTTCTTCTGTAGCCCAGATTAATTTTCAAGGTTATTACGAAGGTAAAAAAGACTATGAATGTACGAAATTAAACTACTGCATTTTTAATGCATTTTTAAAGTCACTGACAGACTGAACGCAAATGAACTCTCTTTGACTCTGCTGGAGAAAAAATGCCTCGAGCCGCGATTCAAGTAGAGGTCTAATGGCCGGTCCCGACGCTGCGTTTTGATCTGCGCGGTCTTAAGACCGAATGAAAAGGTTGAGAGCGTCCAAACGGTGCAAAGATATCAGTATATTGCGTTCAGTTTTGAGTGATATCGTCATGGAAGAGGTCGCAAAGTTATTACACGACCTACAGCGTGGAACAAAAGGCCAGATTTCGAATAATGCTATCGTGGTCAGAGATGAATTCAGAGAGTATTTCAACATTGAGGGGCAAATCCTTGGCCAGATAAATATTTACTGAATATTTGGCCAAATAAATACTTTTTATCAATTAATGTTGTATTTAAATAAATTAATAAGGTGATTACCTATAGGAAATTACTTTTTCATAACTCTTCTGATGGTTCGTTAACTGCAGACTCTAGATTTTTATCCATGCTACTCGTAGACCCGCTTAGAGTCTCATTATCATCTATAAAATGTAGTAACCAATCAAAATGCCAGAAAGATGGCTAATAGATTTCGCTTTCTCTGGCCCCAGATCGAATCGATGCAGTAATTTTTATCAATTCTTCAGGGTAAACACTTCTCAAGGAATAGACTTTATTGCAACTATTTCTCTCCTTACCGTTGCTTTAATTTCTTTGAATTAGTCCACTAAACTCTCATAAGCCTCGCACTTTTTATCCTTGTCACTGTACTTCTTGTATCTGACACGCCGAATATCAGGAAAACTTTCATATAATGCAGTAAGTTCAACGAGAAACTCCCGAAAACATTGTCGAAGGTCAACCATTGTCGCCAGACGAAGTGTCGCCATTGTGACTGACGAAGGACAGCCATTGTAGCGTTTGGACCGGCCTCAAGGCGGGTCCAGACGCTTGTTCCCCACGCTCATATAAAAAAAATATGTTCAATTTAACGGTAATTTCGCAAGTTAGTCTATCAAAACACAACAGCAATAATCCTATCAAGAATCAAGTATGGCGTAAATTGAAGTTTCCGCGGTAATTACAGGCGGTGCTGACCTCTTGATTTGAGAGTGGAACTGGCCGTCCTCGGTAATGTCGGAGTATCTGTTGAGGAGGTTGGTGCGAGGCACGCGCACGTTGTCGAAGAATAGCTTGGCATTGTCGACGCCATTGAGGCCCATCTTGTGTCCCATGTCCTCCACGCGCACACCAGCCATCACCTGTGTTCAACAGCAGACATTCTCATGTCAGCAGACATTCTCATGTCAGCAGACATTCTCATGTCAGTAGACATTCTCATGTCAGAAGACATTCTCATGTCAGCAGACA